AAAAAAACCCAAAAAGGCTTTGTACAGACATAGAAATAAACAGAAATGTGGGAATTCAGTCATTTTTTTTCTGCGATTTTAAGCTGGTCAAGTCCAGTGCAAACCACCCCCCAGCCCTTCCCGCTGATCTCCTTCAGGACGGTTTTGCACCCCACCCTCCTTGCTGCTGTAAATACGTTTTACAACTTCAGAGCAGCCTTGGTAAAGTCCTTACGACTAAATTCTTAAACATCTCCCTCTCCAAGGCTACCATATGCCAAGTGCCTTCCTAGACGGAGGGGGATACAAAGATGTGAAGCAGGATTCCCATTTTTACACAAATAATTTCAGTACAAAGCAGAAGGTGCCAACTGTTCTAGGGAAGTTTCAACATCAGCGCTAGAGGAGCCAGGGAAGTAACTGGTGCGTCAACAAGGCCGTGTCTGGGAAGAGACAACCCTGAAGCCAGGGCATCAGAACAGCCAAGACCTCGGTAGGAAAGCTGCCCCCACAGGCAGAGGCAGTGGGACAGGCAGTCCAACAGATCGCTCCTTTGGCTAGCGTCTTTCCAACCGGAGGCTAAATAATTCCTAAAAGCCGTAGTTTCTTCAATTTCATTCTGAAAAGTCAGAAGAAAGACTACCTTGTCCTGCTGTGCCCCCCACAATTATTTCCCACCACCCTAAGGCCGGCTCCCTATCTGTGCCACAGTCTCTCTACCTTCCATCTCTCCAGTCTCTCTACCTTCCATCTCTCCCAGGTCCAGTAGGAACCAAGCGAGGTCACTGCCGTATTGCCAAAGTACGCTTCCGGGCATCTCTTTCTCCTCAATTAGCGCCCGTGAATTTTTGCTATCTGTCAATTTAGTGTTCAAAGAACACACCCTACTTTACTTTTCCAGTCTTCTCCACCCCCCCCACCCCCCCCCACCCCCGCTCTTCTTCGTCGTGATGCCCTGTGTTTCAGCCGCTCTGGCCATTCATGTTCCCCAAGCACAGGGTGTGATATCCCATCGTCACACTTTCGCTGTGAACAGTTTCGACCACGTCAACCTCGCTGGTCAAATTTTTACGTACTCTTCCAGATGTAAAACGTCTGCCGTTCCAGATTAACTAAGATACCTTCCTCTTCTGGACACCCTCAATATCTTCTCTGTTCCTATTTATGCCACATATATTCTCCTTGCATTATCGTTATTTCGGTTGCAGTTCCCATCACCTCCCGACTAAAATTTAAGCCCCTGAAAGACAAAGACTCTTGACTTCTTTGTACTTATCTGCTAGAGAACCTGGCAGTTTATTTCTGCTAAACTGAGGAGAAAGAGGAGCTACTCAAAATATTGCCGTTTCCCCTGCCACTTCTTGTTTCCCTTTAGTGGCAATTAGGGATCAGATATTCTACTGATGCCTCATTCACTAAAGCTCAGAATCTCACCTTTCTGGATTCCTCTCCTTACACGCATTCAGTCTCCAAGCACCAGGAAGAAGTAATTACCTAGTTCTGTCAGGTCTGGCTTCCGCTCTTTGGTTTCCTGCCTTTATTCCCCTTCCCCCCTACTTCATAAACCTCTATAGCTTTCTTTCTTTCTTCTCTCTTTAAAAAATGTTTGTTTGTTTTTGAGAGAGAGAGAGTGAGAGTGTGAGAGGAGGAGGCAGAGAGAGAGGGAGACAGAAGTTCCAAAGTGGGCTCTCCACTGCCAGCACAGAGCCCAATGAGGGGCAAGCGGGGGAGGGGCAGAGAGAGAGACGGAGGAAGACACAGAATCCCAAGCGGGCTCCAGGCTCCGAGTTGTCAGCACAGAGCCCAACATGGGGCTCGAACCCACAGACTGTGAGATCATGACCTGAGCTGAAGTCGGACGCTTGGCCACTGAGCCACCGAAGGAACCCCTAAACCTCTATAGCTTTCCAGTCACCAGTCCCCAGTACCTGGTCCCAGTTTCCTCTCAAGTTCACCATCGGCATCAACTTCTTTCCCTCTCTGGCATGAACCTTTTCCATCCACAAAAGGAGTAGCTCCTAAATATGCCTTGGATTCTGATCACCATCCTGTTCTCACATCACAGTCGATGTCTGGGATTTCCTCTGCCAGTCTTCTGGCCTTTTCAAATCCTACTCATCCTTTAGAGCTTAGCTAAAATGCCACTTGCCCCTCATCACTGTTCAAGAACATTCATTCAGGGGCATAAGAACTCATATTCGTTGAGTGCTTTCCATGGACCAGATAGTAAGTATTTCACAGAACAATCTTAGCAGGGAGCTATGATGATCATATCACTTTACAATGACAAAACTAAGGCTTACTGACGTTAAATAACACACCCAAGGTCATACAGCAATTAAACGGCGGAGGTAGGATTTGGTATTAGGAACCCTCAGTTGAAGCTCTAGCCATCATGCCAAACTCC